TTTTTAAAGGGTTCCACTGCACCTGTATTGTGGCCAAAACTAAATATTTTCCTGAAAATAAATAAAAATATAGATATGACATTAACGATATGATAAATAAATGAGATTTTAACTTTACACTTTAAATATATAAAATTATAAATTAATAAAGAGAGAGAAAAGATTAATCCCATGGGAGAGTCGGGCTTAACCAGAGGTGAACTGGCTTATTTGTGGGCCACTTACTCCATCTCTCTATAGGCCATTGAGCCATAATGGAATGGAAACGCAGCCTTCTGGTTTGGTTAAGGGCTAATTACACCTTTACCCCTAACATCAAATGCCACACTTTTCCGAGTTCCACTCCTTAAGCTCTAAGGTTTCAGCTTTTACGAGTTATACTGACTGGTCAAAGCGTAAAGTGAAGCCTTTTGCTTACTATAGTAATTAGTAGGAGTAACATCGAAACAACTTAAATATTAAGAAACCGTTAAACATACGGTTTCTTAATAGGAAGACACATTTCATTATATTATATTATATTATTAAGAGGTGTAGTTTAATTAATCAGTTATTGAATGTTTTTTTTTGAAATTATCAATTGAAATATTATAAATTTCAGACCCATTAAAAATTCATCATTTATTTCAGAATTTTAAAAATTAATTAAGGTATATAAATTGTACAGGATATCCATGATTAAAAAAAAAGGACACATTCCATTATACACGTGACGTTTTTCCGTGAGTGGGAGTTGGGATTGTAAGGATTCCTGACTCTGAAGGCAAGAACCAGTCCATTAAAACCACACAGCTTCATGCTCTTGAACTTGAATTCCAGTTTCTTTTTCTGAAGACAGAGAGAAGATACTTAATGGGTTTTGTCTTTCAACAATTTTGAGTTATCGTTTCTCAAATTAAGAACCGCCAAGGTAACATTTTTTTCTTCTTTTTCCAAGATAGGTTTTCCTTGTTTTGCTTTTATTCTCCATATATTGTCTCAGTTAACTTGAAGTCAATGATCTTGATTGATTCTGAAATTGATTTTGTTTAAAGTTCATTTTTAAACGAATATTAGTGGTAGCTCTAATACACATTTCCTTGAAGATGGCTGAGGTTTTGTTTTTTTAACTTTGAAGCAAATATTTTATTGGGTTTTGGACTGTTGTTTAAAGATCACTTCTTTTTCACACGTGTGCTCCTACATGATTTTCTGCTATTCAAATTTGATGTTGGAAGCGAATTGGTAGCTTCCATTGGAAGTTTTTCATTAGGATAATAAGTTTTGATGGTGGGTTCTTGTATGTTAGAGCTTGTTGGTCTAATAGGTCCTAAACATGCTAATTAGTGCATTTTGTGGCCATTTTCACATGTCTTAAACAGGGTTTTGATGGATATAGGTTAACTTAACGCAATGTTGTTTTTGCATGGATATATAGATAGGCAATGTCAAAAGGGTGTTGACTTTGTCTGAATAAGGTTACTTAACTGGTTTTGCAGTTTGGAATAGTAAGATGGCCAGACAGGCTAATACACTTTTCCTTGAAGAATGGCTGAGGATCTGTAGTGGTAGCAGCAACAACACTTCAGCCACTACTAATCAATCTCAGGGTTTTAATCCTTTTAATGCTGGCACTGCTCAGGTTTCTACTGCTGGAACTGGTTTGGCAACTTCAACACAGAGCATGCCGAAGCAATTTAGTTCACCTGCATCAATTCCTTTTAGTTTGACTACGAGTTCAGCCTTCTCTTCTGGCAGCTCCACATTTGGTTCTTCTACATCTAAATTGTTAAGTTCTGGTACTACGTTTGGACTTAACTCTTCCGCTTCCGAGTCCAGCTCTGTTAGCTTCATGGTGAGCCCCGCATCTGCTGTATTTGGTTCCAACTGGCAGGCACCGAAATCTACTGGATTTAGTTCCGCACCATCCTCTTCCTCAACGTTGTTTGCCTTTGGAGCAATTTCTAATACTGGTACGAGCAGTGCACCCATGGTGTTTGGACCAACCTCTAGCGTCTCATCTGCTCCCCCTTTCCCCTTCAGTTCACCTGCATCTGCTACTCCATCACAGTCTGTGTTCGGTGCCCCAAATTCTAGCTTCGGATTTGGTTCTTCATCTGGTAATAATGACCAAATGAGCATGGAGGACAGCAAGGCAGAGGACACGGTTCAGGCAACGACGCCTTCAGTTCCCGTATTTAGCCAACAACCAGCCACACCTGGCTCAATTTTTGGTTTTTCAGCTCCATCGGGTGGGAGTCAGTTTGGTTCTACAGGTCCACCAGGTGCCAACCCCTTTCAATTTGGAAGCCAACCAAATCTTGCTGCTCCGCAGAACCCATCTTCTCAGGCTTCAGGTAGTCTAGAGTTTAATGCTGGAGGAAGCTTCTCATTGGGAACAGGTGGCGGTGACAAGTCCCATAGAAAATTTGTCAGGGTCAAAAAAACACAGCGCAAGCGGTAAAGACACCTAGGAACGCCGGTTTGGTTTTGTTGTGTAATTTCCTGGTTATTGGTGGCAGACAAGTAATTATAATGATGAGAGATACACAGCATGATTTGCTGTTTCGGAGGTCACCCATTGATATTTTGGTGGCAAAGATAAACCTGCCTTTTCAGGCACCAGAGATGTGCCTGATCCTGCTTATGTCTTTAAAGTTCCCTTTCCCCTCAGGACGATGGTGGAAAGGCGGGCTTATGTTGTTGCAATTTTGTACTGTCTTCTTAGCAAACCTAAGAAATTTTACCATGTACTCCCTAGTGGTAGCTCATAGGATTATAGTTGGGTAGATTTGCTTGTGACCATGTTCTCTGTAGTCTGTACTCTATCACTTGTAACATAAACAGCAAATCATATCGATTTGTTTAAGAAAGTGTCTTGTTCTGAGCATCAGGAATTTCCAATAATCATTGTTTTATCTCACTTGTAATCTGTTTTCTAACATTCCTTGCTCTTGCCTGCCTTGTTTACTGGCGACGGAACTTAGAAGTGAACACTGAATTATACACGAGGGTTTGCTGAAAGACATGCAACAGGAGATGAATAAATGTCAATTTATCCTACTGTTAATGTATATGATATAAGATTTGGCTATTGGAGCCGACAATTTAAACAAGATGCACAAAATTACTGGCAGGAAGATAGGTAGCGGGAAGCGTTAAGCACAAAATGTACCCTTCATAT